CCATCGAACCATATAACTTTTATCTGAAACATTTTTGCTGAATATGCTTAACTGAGGAATTATCAGGATGCATCTTTTAAAATGGAACACCTTATATAGTTATAAATTACTCATTTCCTAGCAAATATAATTAATATAATTACGGTTAATATAATTGTACGCACACACAAAGGTTACAAATTGTCAAGCAAATATCAGTCAAAAATATGTTGTAAAAATATATTCCAAAAAGTGCAATTATTTTATATAAAAAATGCGATCTAGTAGGTGTAATAATATAAAAGGGTATCTTGCTATTCCAGATGGATTATTTGCTAAAATATATTCATTCACATTACTATAACTAATATTTTGGTTGCAAGTGATTGTTATTAACAAAAGTAATTACCATCAATTAAAAAATCTGCTTATAAAAATTTAAAAAAACTTCGTTATAAAAATGAACACCAAAAAAGAAAATTAAGAAACCTTAATATTAAATAAAAAATTTAATAAATAAAAATAAATTGAAAAATTAAATAAAAAGTAACATATAATATAAGTAACAGTTATATTACGTCTTACTTCTATATAGTATAAGTTATATTTTGCGTTTGCTGAGATTATTTCTCATTTTTACTATTAAATGTGGTTATTCAATAATAATAAAGATACGAGATAGAATTAGTACAATTTTAGCAACTATCCCTTAAAATAGATTACTGTCAAAACAATTACACTTTGAATAGTTAATATTCACCAAACAAATAGATTGAGCTGTACAAACACGTAATGCAAATAAGTGTCACCCTTTGCTGAAAAATGCGGAAACTTAAATTAATATAAAAATTATATAATCTATGCACATGTGCATATGTGTGTGAGTGTGTACTTTACATACATTCAAAATATATGCATAATGCTCTAGGAAATACATTCAAAGTATGTGCATAATGTTCTAGGGAAAGAAATACGGATGACAACACGCCGTTACAATTATTTAATGAAATGGAAATCTACACACTTGTGATTTCTGTAGAAACTGATGTTTGCCCAGATATGTTCCCTACGGTCTATCAATGTCTGGAAAAACTTGGAAAACCGAGAAATTATGGTCCGTAATAATTCGTATCTTTCCGTTGTATGTAATCCCGACTTTCTCTGCTTTCCTAATACATGTCAACGATCTATTTCCAATATCGTTGCCTAGATAATAGAAAAAGTTTCAATAATCATGGCCTTCTATATATAGAATCTACTATTTTATATATATTATATATTATATATATTATATATTATATATTATATATAGAACAGAGTTCGGTACGCATCATATATTTCAACTGATTTTCGACTTACTCCGCATAGCACTATTTCTTTTACCGCATCGCTCGACGCGCAGTTTGAGTTGCTTGAGACTTAGATTGATTTGTAAACATATATTTTTAATAGTGGAAAGCTATTATAAGCTGCGCGAGGGACGATGAGATAAGAAGAATAATGTTAGACGAAGCCAGCCGAAAATTGATCGAAACATGAAACGTGTACCGAGCTCTGATATAAAACATTATAATTTTGTCCATTAAAACTCACATCACTATTTAAAATAAAACTTAATACGTTTAATTTTAAGATAAAACTACTGTTTAGAGGACCCCTAAACCCAAGGCCTTGACCTTGACCATATTGAGGGATATATCCTTCATAATATAAGTTAAGAGCAAAATTATACGAATCGGACCTCTACTCAATATTTTTACCAAAAGTGTATAGGATGGGTTAGGTTAAATTAATTTTTTTAAGTAGAAAATCTAGAAGAGAAGCGGAGCTCCTCTCCTGTTTATATATATATATATATATATATATATATATATATATATATATATATATATATATATAT